AATTGCCCCTCTGGGAAAACGTTTTTCTGATTCTGATTCTGATCTTGACTTGCCTTACCCGTTTTATCTTCATTTGAAGTTAAAGACCGCAAGCTTGTTAAAAAAGGTGCTCATTTTTGCACATTTAGCTGCATCCTTTTCCAGCGCTTTCCTCTTTTTAATTCTTGCCTTCTCTGCGCCACCCTTGCTCTTTCTACTTTCCATCTTTCCATCAACTGCGTGGTCACGTGGTGCGCACAGGCGCATACGGGGGGAAAAAAAATAACGAGCGGCAGCCTGCAGGTAGAGACAGCCGGGAGGATCGTATGAGATCAGCCCGGCGGCCTCAGTGCCATGACTGAACACCGGCACCAAAAAAGAAAAATAAAATGATAAAAAACAAAAACGAGAGCACCTGCCCATGCGGCCCAAACATCGCGCGGCCCACCGGGAATTCTCTAGACCCTCCCGATTAGCCACTCCGGGCCTGAATGTATGAAATCTCAAAAAGCAACAGGTAAATCATTGTTAGAAAGTCAATGTTTTAATTGTGTATTTTTATTTTTTTGCAGTTGCAGAAAACCTTTGCTGATGGTGGCCAACCAGCTACCAAAAAGGCAAAAATGTCCAACCAGAACATTGAGGACGCATTTACAAGTACTACAAAGTACAAGAGTGATGCCAAAGAACAACAAATTAAAGAAGAGGCTATCGCTACATGGACTGAATGTACAGGATTGCCAGTCACAACAGTAGAAGATGATTCTGATGATGGAAAGTTTGGATAAGAAGTTTACTGTGCCAAAGAAAACCAAGTTAAGTAATTAAAAATTTAAATTCTAAATGAAAAACACTATGAAAACAAAAAAACTACATTTAAGAAGACTGTCTAGTGCCAGAAAAGTATGTATTGGGACTGAGAGTGTTCAGTATCACAGGTGACCTCACTAGAGGGAAACGCAACCGAGCAAAGGTCACACTAGCACGAAGTGCTTTTCTCAAAATGAATCGCAGCAAATAAATATCCACACTGTTTAGCTGAGCCTGTGTTGTAACAAGTGAATATCTACAGACTCAGGGTTAACATGTTTAAATTTGCTGCTCTTGTAAATTCTTGTTGTGCAATTGCTAAAAAGAGCACCTTTGTAATTTCCAGTGTGCTTTTTGTTTTTTATTAAACACGTAAGTGTTAAACATGTGAAGTGGTTCGTTTTTTATTCAAATATTCTATGTTCTTAGCTATGTGTGCTATATCTGATCAGTGGTGGTTAAGAGTTTGGACCCTGTGTATTAAATTACACTACTAGTTTTCCGTGCTCTATACAAAAGTAGGAAATTACTTCATTAGAAAAAATATATGCATTTTGTTGACTAAAATTGCTTATTTTTATCGACTAAAATTACTTGTTATTTTCATCGACTAAAATGGGACTAAAACTAAAATAAATCTAATGACTAAAATTGGACTAAGACTAAAATTAATTTTTAGCCAAAAGACTAAGACTAAAATAAAATTAAAATTTCCTGTCAAAATAACACTGGTCAGAAATGGACAGTTCATCACGCTACATATGCCCCCTTTTCAAAGGCACGGTGGTCCATCAGAGACCACCTGGCGTTGAATAATATTGAAGGACCCCGTCGACAGATCAAGGTATAATTTCCCAGGCAGATCGTGATTTCCTTTGAAAGCACATAGTTCAGCAGTCAGCAGATCATTAATATATCCACGTGGAGGGGATAATGTGAAGCAGAAGTAGTAGCACTTTGTATATCCATGGGTAGAGAATAATTTCAAAGCAGTATCTTTGATCTTTGTAATTGCACTTAACGTAATCCCAAGTAGGAGGAAGACGAGCAGCAAACAGATCGGGTCCCAGCGAGCGAAGTATCCCAGCAGCCATTGCCGGAACCAACGGACGTCCAGGTCCCACGAGTCGGAACACCAATCAGGAGATGTAGAATCCGAAGACGAATCATAGGCCAACCCAGGAATCGAGGATCATCGACGAAACTCAGGAGGAGAGAAAGCACAACACAGGGCACTTCATTGTAGACACAACAAGATGGCTTCTGATGCAAATCAATAAAGAAAAAGAAACCAAGCCCCCACAATGCAGCTTTAAAATTGAAGCCAACCCGGAAGTAGCAAAAATTGCAGTTCCACCCTCATCCGCTGGGGGGCTGGTGTCAGAAGCGAGCAAATCCTCATTGACTCCCATGTTAAAAATACCAATTTCACAGCAGATTTAAACATGTTTACAGCCTGGTACCAGAACATGTTTTTTGTTTAAATCACATATGTCAGAGTCAAGGCCCGCGGGCCAGACCGCTGGGGATTACCAGATGGAAGAATGGACACAGAAGTCTCACTCCAAGCGCTCCGTCATATTGCAACCCATTTTTATCTTAAATGCACTGGGTTTTACCCATCGAAATATGCCCTATTAATTATTTTACCGTATTTTACATTTAAATTTCATGGTTAAACAGTACATGCTACATGTTAAACTGATAGTTAGCTAGCTACTTCGGTAAACTCAGCTAGTTTAAAGGCGGCAGTGACATAAAATACGAATATAGATTTTAACTTACCGAAAAAAATGAAGTGGAGACTCCTTGGACGCTCTATTAGTGCAATTAATACCACTGCAAGTCATTTTGTCCAACAATTGCACCAATAATATCCAAAACAGAATTCACAAGCACAGAGACTCAAAATCCCGAAACAGTTTACAGGAGACACCGAGGCTGTACTGAGGCCTTTCCATGGAGCTAGCTCTGTGGTCACGTGGGTCTGAGGCGGCGGTCACGTGTGTCGGATGCTCATTAATTACACAGAATTTTAGGCTTTCAATACACTTAAACAGAAGAGTGAGAAAAAAAATTCACCCCCCTCAGAGTTGTCATGAGTGTAAACTAGATAATTTAGACAAAAAACATGTTCTGGTACCAGGCCATAAACATGTTTATTTCTGCTGTGAAATCGGCATTTTTAACATGGGAGTCAATGAGGATTTGCTCGCTTCTGGTACCAGCCCCCAGCGGATGAGGGTGGAACTGCAGTTTCTCTTACTTCCGGGATGGGACCATTTTTAGAGACGCATTGTGGGGGCTTGGTTGACAGACATCATTAGAGCGTGAAATCCAGCACAGCGTGACCCGGTTCTGTAACGAATTCTGTTCAGGAGGTCACATTTAAGGCTCTCCACATCATATGTGACTGACTTTTACGTTATAACAACGATCACACACTAGGAATGTTATAAAGCGCCTATATCTGACAGTTTCTTTTGTATATTATCTGACTTTATAAACTCCAACAACAATGTGCTTCTATTTTTTTTTTCAGGCTAAATCTACCCAAGACACTGGCTGTCAGACTGATTTAGTAGTCTTCAAGAATGCATTTGTCCAGGCTGACGTGAAGCCTTACCCGTAGCAAAGGTGAATTATTTTTAATAATCTTCTATGTAAACATTTTATTATCACCTTGTAGTTTTAATTTGTTTTGCAGATTAATGTTACACATGATTTTATGCTCTTTTAAACATTTATAAATGTGCTGTTTCTTTGTTTTTTATATAGCCACCCAGTTTAGAGCTCCCAGCTGCAGTGTGTCTGGTGACACAGGGACCATGATGGAAATTCATCTTCCAGAAAGTCTGGCTCATCATTTAGCCAGATTTCTAAGGTATAGGCCAAAAATGTTTAGGTCAGTTTTGATAAGGTCTGTGCATCTCTCATTTCATGACATGTCTGTCCCAGGTGGCAGCTGGGTGAGGGTGAGCGTGTTGGGGGGGGGCTAAGGGTGGGTTACCTGGAGGTGTGGATGACGTTGGAGAGGCTGTGTGGGTGGGAGAAGGCTGCGGGCATGGGGGAGCCTGATGAGCCTGGGTGTGATGCAGGTGAGAGAGGAGACAGGGCAGAGGCCGGATGGATGTGCAGAGGGCAGGGGAAGCTTAAGCCTGGGTGGGTGGAGGTGGATCCAGGGCGGGCAGGGAGAGGTGAGACCTGGGCCTGGGCTGGTCGTCAGCGGCGCGCCACAGGCAGCTGATGGTGGTGTGGAGGACCAGCAGTCTCCAGCAGGTGATGGCGGGGTGGAGGAGCAGGAGTGCCCAGCAGGTGATGGCGGGGTGGAGGAGCAGGAGTGCCCAGCAGGTGATGGCGAAGAAGATGGCTGGAGAAGCAGCAGCAACAGCGGAGAGAGATCCGCGGCCGGAGACGCCAGGGCACAGAGCGCAACACGGCAGGCGGGCAGAGTTACTCTGCCCCGCGCGGCGCGTAAGTAATTGATCAGTGCCTGGCAGTGTTAGAGTTGCTCTCTCTCTGTGAGTGGTCTGGTGCCGGGGACCTATTTACTGCCGGAGTTGTTGTGTGCCACAGGGGCCGGGCCGAGGAGGAGGCGGATTGGATCCACCGTGCGGTGATCCTGTGGTTCCCAGACGACGATGGCGGCCTTGGAGGTTCCTTGGTCGAGAGCTCAGCAGGGCCAGACTGGACCGCCTTGTCCCTTGGGGCCCTGCGCACACTCGATTGAACGCTTTTTTTCCTTGGCATCATATTCAGGGTTTTGTATTAAACGTACCTTTTTAATTTGCTTTGGCTGTCGCACTGCTTGCCTTGTTTTTTTAGAACCTATTTTAATCCTTTTAATATTAGTGGCACCTTTCATTCCAGCTGGATCGTGTCAGATACATAACCCAAACCAATATTACAATAACATAAACTCTTACACAAAACACTCCTCTTGATAGAGCAAATCTGTTCAGCACATTCTGACAGACAGACCACCTTTCTTCTGTCATGATACTGTACAGGACATTTTTAGAGTTTTTCTTTTTAAAGATAAATAGTATTACATTTAAAGAGCAATACTTTCACATTATCAATTTTCCCACACTTTTCTGTATACCTGTATTTTATTGTTTTTCAATAAAGAATGACAAATTATTTAAGTTTATGTTTTTTTAGCACACAAATATCTATCTGTAAAAAGTATCTACAAAGCTAATATTTACATAACAAGTATGATTGGGTTTTGCAATACAGCACTCTGTTTATTTTAGTAAGATTTTTAAACCAAGTAAAGTTAGTAAAGAACACATTTCTATTGGCTGCTAAGAAACTGTTGGACTTAAAACAGGCCTGTTGTAGAAACAACTTGGCATAAATGATTCTTCCTTCCTTTTTTGTCGTAACCAAAGAAATTCCAGTAATTGAGCAAAAACATTTTTTTTACGTCACATTTTATAAAATAACAGGACAACTTTCATGACCAAAAATACCCCATAAAAATTATTCAGTAACTCAGGAGAGCAGGAACAAATCTTATTTCTGACTTTACATTTTTTTACTTCAATTCAAACTAGTTACAATTTTTTGTTTTCATCACACTTAGCTTGTTTTTTAATTAAAATATCATCAGCTTTACAGGTTAGCTGTTCCTGTGTGCTCAAAAGTATACCAACATTAAAAAAAAACCTGCAACAGATCGTTCAGCCCTAGTGGATGCTTAGATGATCGTTTAAAGTTTTCTATTGGCTAAATCTTCGTCTACAGAGCTCACAAGCAAAAGGCTTATGTCCTTTGTGAACTCTTATGTGACCGTTTAAATTTGTCTTTTGCCTAAATCTTTTTACAAAGAGATCACAGGTGAAAGGCTTATGTCCTTTGTGAACTCGCATGAGAAGGTTTAAATATATCTTCTTGCTAAATCTTTTTCCACAAAACTCACAGGTGAAAGGCTTCTGTGTGGACACTCATGTGATTATTTAAAGTTGGCATTCGGCTAAATCTCTTTTCACAGAGCTTTCAAGCAAAAGGCTTCTGTCCTGTGTGGAATCTCATGTGACTTTTTAAAGTTGACATTCGGCTAAATCTCTTTTCACAGAGCTCACAAGCAAAAGGCTTCTGTCCTGTGTGGACTCTCATGTGTCTGTTTAAAGTTGACATTCGGCTAAAACTCTTTTCACAGAGCACACAAGCAAAAGGCTTCTGTCCTGTGTGGACACTCATGTGACTATTTAAAGTTGACTTTTGGCTAAATCTCTTTCCACAGAGCTCACAAGCACAAGGCTTCTGTCCTGTGTGGACACTCATGTGACTATTTAAATTTGACATTCGGCTAAATCTCTTTTCACAGAGCTCACAAGCAAAAGGCTTCTGTCTTGTGTGGACACTCATGTGACTATTTAAAGGGGCCTTCAGGCTAAAACTCTTTCCACAGAGCTCACAGGCAAAAGGCTTCTGTCCTGTGTGGACTCCCATGTGTCTGTTTAAAGTTGACTTTTGGCTAAATATTTTTCCACAGAGGTCACACGTTAAAGGCTTGTGTCCTGTGTGGAAACTCATGTGAATGTTTAGAGTTGACTTTCCGCTAAATATTTTTCCACAGAGATCACAAGAATAAGACTTCTGTCCTGTGTGGACACTCATGTGACTATTTAAATGGGTCTTTTGGCTAAATCTCTTTTCACAGAGCTCACAAGCAAAAGACTTCTGCCCTGTGTGGACTCTCATGTGACTGTTTAAATGGGTCTTTCGGCTAAATCTCTTTTCACAGAGCTCACAAGCAAAAGGCTTCTGTCCTGTGTGGATACTCATGTGACTATTTAAAGTTGACTTTTGGCTAAATCTCTTTTCACAGAGCTCACAAGCAAAAGGCTTCTGTCCTGTGTGGATACTCATGTGACTATTTAAAGTTGACTTTAGGCTAAATCTTTTTCCACAGAGGTCACATGGAAAAGGCTTCTGTCCTGTGTGGACACTCATGTGACTTTTTAAATGGGCCTTTAGGCCAAATCTCTTTCCACAGAGCTCACAGGCGAAAGGCTTCTGTCCTGTGTGGACTCCTATGTGTCTGTTTAAAGTTGACTTTTCGCTAAATCTTTTTCCACAGAGGTCACACGGAAAAGGCTTCTGTCCTGTGTGGACTCCCATGTGTCTGTTTAGAGTTGACTTTCCGCTAAATCTTTTTCCACATTGCTCACAGGAAAAATGTTTCTGCTTTGTGTGGACTCTTGTGTGTTTGCTTAAATGTGTTTTATGGCTAAAGGATTGAAACCTGGCAGCATCAGTCTCATTCAAATGGAGATGCTCTCCCTCCATACTAGACCAGAGGTTTTCCTGTTCCTCCTTTTTGTGGAGAAAATCTTGGTGCTGGTGGTTGACACGAGCACTCTGTTCTTCTGAAGCTTCTTATTTAACCAGAGCCACCTGTTGAAAATCTGTAGGAAACACAGAAACATTATGTGAATTACAGACAGCTGTAACTTTGTTTTTACACATATAAAAAATGTATTATTTCTTTAAACTGACAGTAGAATGAAATGTATTTCCATCCATCCATTTTCACCCGCTTATCCGGAGTCGGTTCGCGGGGGCAGTGGCCTAAGTCAAGAGGCCCAGTAGGGCTGCTCGATTATGGCAAAAATAATAATCACGATTATGGTGACTGAAATTGAGATCACGATTATTTAGGACGATTTTTCAATTTATGTTGATTTTATTTGTTTTTATTCAGTCATAAAATTGCTCTGGCACAATCATGACAAAAATAAGAAACAGATGATCACTAAAATAACTCCTGATTCCCAGTATAAAAAGACCAATATACTTATAGATCATAGTCTATGACCCAAGGGCTATAGACCTTGGTTTAACTCATTTAAGTCTAACCAGTACAGACCCAAATACCAATATCTTGCAAGAATTATACAGTGGCATTTATAACAAATAAATGCAAATAAATTGATGTTCACAAAATGTTGCATAACATTTATTGAGTCGTGTCAAGGTGCTGTAGGAGAGTGCACTAGCACCGTGTCCTCAGAGAGATTAGTTATTATTTATCAGTGTGAGGAACTTATTTCTACCTTATTTATAAAGTATTTATTTACAAGTCCATCAGTTAATGTAATAACTGTCCCAACCACAGCTGCACCCCCCATCCCCCAACCCGGTCTCACAGCAATCGGGGCAAGCTGCACGTGTGTTTAGCGCGCCGCACGCGCATATTTAGCCGTTTTTAGTGGCTCAGGAGTCCGCAGGTACGGTGTGTGTGTCACTCACTCTGGTTACTCCAACAAGGAGCCGGCTCCGAGAGCTGTCTTTAGCGACTGACACATCACTACATCATTCCCTTTCCTAATGTCCTGAAGAATGGTCTGGAGCGCAGGCGGAGTGTTTAGCTAACCTGCAGGAAATGTCGACGACAGTTATCCAGAAAGTAGCTAAGGGTTACCAGAGATGTTTCTGAGGTGTTCGCTAGGTATTTTTAAGTTAAAAAGTCAAGAAGGGGGTCTGAAAAGCTGCTAGAAATAGCGTCAATGTCACTAAGTTGGCAACACTGTGGGAGGAGCGCTTCATTTGCAACTCAGGACAGCGCAAGCGGGAGGAGCAAATAATCGGCTTGTTTTGTTTTTATATAATCGTTCAAAACTCAGATCGTAATCGTGATTAAAATTTGATTAATTGAGCAGCCCTAAGGCCCAGACTTCCCTCTCCCCAGCCACTTGAACCAGCTCCTCCGGGGAAATCCCAAGGCATTCTCTGGCCAGGTGAGAGACATAGTCCCTCAAACGTGTCCTGGGTCTACCTTTAGGCCTCCTCCCAGTTGGATGTGCCTGGAAAACTTCACCAGGGAGGAGTGCGGGAGGCATCCTGACCAGATGCCAGAGACACCTCAACTGGCTCCTCTCGATGAGGAGGAGCAGCGGGTCTACTCCAAGCCCCTCCCAGATGACCGAGATTCTCACCCCATCTCTGAGGGAGAGCCCAGCCACTCTGCAGAGAAAACTAATTTCGGCCTCTTGTATTCGCAATCTTGTTCTTTCGGTCACTACCCAAAGCTCATGACCATAGGTGAGGGTAGGAATGTAGATAGACCGGTAAATTGAGTGCTTCGCCTTCTGACTCAGCTCTCTCTCTCTTCACCATAACAGACTGGTACAACGCCCGCATCACTGCAGATGCAGCACCAATCCACCTATCTATCTCACGCTCCAGGTTTTCCTCACTCGTGAACAAGACCCCGAGAAACTTAAACTCCTCCACTTGGGGCAGGACCTCATCCCTGACCCGAAGAAGGCATTCTAACCTTTTCCGAATCAAGACCATAGTCTCAGATTTAGAGGAGCTGATTCTAATCCCAGCTGCTTCACACTCAGCTGCAAACCGCTCCAGCGAAAGCTGAAGATCACTTTCTGATGAAGCCAACAGGACCACATCATCTGCAAAAGCAGAGAACTGATCCCGAGGCCACCAAAACGGATGCCCTCAACACCTTGGCTGCACCTAGAAATCCTGTCCATAAAGGTTATGAACAGAATCGGTGACAAAGGGCAGCCTTGACAGAGTCCAACTCTCACTGGGAACGAGCCCGACTTACTGCCGGCAATGCGGACCGAGCTCTGACACCGGTCATACAAGGACCCAACAGCCCACATCAGACAGCCTGGTACCACATACTCCCGGAGTACCCCCACAGGGCCCCCCGAGGGACGCGGTCAAACACGCGGTCTCTACGCACAAATCTTAGAGCTGCGGAATGGAAATGGCACATAACAAAAGATCCTGGTGAGCAATTGAAATTTCAAGAATTACTGTCCTCATTCTCTGCCAGCATCACTGATGCAAAGAAAGCTTTCTACACTGACAAAATTCTCAGCTCTACTGACTCTCAGAAACTATTTTCAACAATCAAAACTCTGCTCAACCCTCCACCTCCTACCAACAATCTATCAGCTGACACCTTTGCCCCATTCTTCACTGACAAAGTGGCAGCTATAAGTAAACAGTTTACTCAACTGGCCACTCCTGAACATTCACTACCACAAACTCCTTCTAGCCCAACAATCTCAAGCCCTACTTCTTCATTTTCCTCTTTTTCACCTCTCACTGAGAACTGTGTCCAAACTTCTCACGTGCAGGCGCCCTACTACATGCCCACTTGACCCCATTCTGACTAAGCTGCTCCAAGCTATTGCTCCTACAGCAATCGCAGCAGTCACACATGTGATCAACGCTTCACTGATATCCGGTACATTTCCCACCTATCTCAAGCATGCTCAGGTTAAACCGCTGCTAAAAAAAACCCATCTCTTCCTCAAAATCATGTGGAGAACTACCGACCTATCTCTCTCCATTTTCTGTCCAAAATCATTGAAAGGGTGGCTTTCAAGCAGATAACAGAATACCTCTCACAAAACTGTCTGCTCGACCCTTACCAGTCTGGGTTCAAAAAGGGCCACTACACTGAAACTGCTCTGTTAGCAGTGACGGAATCTTTAAAAGAAGCTAGAGCGACTGCCAAATCCTCAGTGCTTATCCTACTCGACTTATCGGCTGCATTTGACACTGTCAACCATGGCTTCCTTTTGTCCACACTCTCTAGCATGGGCATCACAGAGAAAGCACACGCCTGGTTTGATCGTACCTCACAGGACGATCATTCAGTGTATCTTGGCTTGGACAATCCTCTACCATGCACCATCTTGCCACAGGAGTCCCCCAGGGCTCTGTACTAGGACCTCTTCTCTTTGCCATATACACCACCTCACTGGGTGAGATAATTTGATCACATGGCTTCTCCTACCACTGCTATGCAGATGACACCCAGCTCTAGCTGTCATTTCCACCGGACGACCACACTGTCTCTGCACGAATATAAAACTGTCTCTCTGACATATCAAAATGGATGAAATCCCACCATCTCCAACTCAACCTCTCTAAAACTGAACTACTTGTCATCCCAGCAAAACCATCCATACACCACAATATCTCAATGCAAAATGACTTCCTATCTCTGGCTCCTTCAAAGGCAGTTCGAAATCTGGGTGTTGTCATTGATGAACACCTGAGCTTTAAAGATCATGTTGCCTCTGTTGCTCGTTCATGCCGCTTTGCGCTGTATAACATACGAAAGGTCAGACCATACCTAACACAACATGCCATCCAGCTCCTGGTGCAATCTACTGTCATCTCCCGCCTCGATTACTGCAATGCCCTTCGAACTGGTCTTCCAGGCTGTACTGTGAGATAGGGCTGCAACAAAACAATTATTTGGATAATCGATGAAACGGATGGGGTCTCGACACGATTAATCGATTAATCGGATTACATTGGGAAATTTTTAAAAACTGCTAGGGAAACGTTATTTCTCTCCTTCCTTCACTTTATTTAACACAACATTATTAGAAAACAGTTCAATAGCAGAAAAACAACATGCCATCACCTAAATTGTCTTATAAGGTGCATAGACAGAGACCCTAAGCTGCATCTATCTGTGACCTAAAATGCTTGGTCCAAGTTAAACAGCTTAAGGGCAATTCTCATCTGTTTTGTTTGATCTCATCTGTAGACATTTATTATAACTGGGGATGTCAAACAACTAATTTTTAAATGTAATTAAACATAGGCTGTGAATTAATCAAAATTGATCACTATTTCCAAAAATGACTGAAAAAATACCAAATAAAACAAAATTAAATGAATGCCACATGATGGGGTGGGGCCAGGCTTCACAATGAGCTCACCCGAAATTCTGGCTGAATAGGACCCACACCCACCCTCACACCTTGGCTCATGTGTTTATGTAGAAGATCATCAGAAGGTCTTTTGTTCCCTCTTTGGGGAGGACACTCCCACTGGGTTTGAATCTGGGACTCTCCACCATTTGACCTTAGAACGGAAGAAGCCTCTCGGATGAGAGGAGAAACGTTTTCAAGCAACTCAAAGAAGTCCAGACGCTTTTCTTTCAAAGCTCCTTAGACTACAATGACCTGGATGACTGAGAACCTTCACAGACATATGGCCTTCTCTTAAGATCAACCCAGCATCCCCCAGTCTGTTTACTATGTTTCATGTTGTTTTATTATGTGTTTATTGCATTTTTTGTGAAGCCTCTTTGAGTGACCTAAAAGTGCTTTACAAGTTTGATGTATTTTTGTTATTATTATTATCACTTACAACCGCATAAATAGCCAGGCATTTGTCTCCACTCCCTGTTCAGCTATTTTCCTGCACCAGATCTGGCTTTTACAAATGTTTCACACCTGTGTGAATAACACATCTGTCTAACAGAAAAACCACTTCTCCAACTCATTTACTTATTTACATATCTGTGCAGACCAGGTCCAGGTGGTGAAGAACACACGATGAATCAGTCCCAGCTGATGGATGATCCTGAAGTGGTAGCAGGTTTTCTTTAGCCGTGTTTAGCTAACAGCTGCAATAGAAACAAAGCAGGAGAGCTGATTAAGATGCTGCTTCAGAACAACGCAGGAGATTAAAGATCCAACGCTTTGGTTCTGGCCAAAGGAACAGCAGCAGATCCAGAGGGCAGGAAGTCTAGAGAAAAGCTTTTCTCACCCACAACCTGATTCTGGAGCTCCGATTGTCACGAAGACCGCAGAATATCTTCTCTGGTTCTGGAAAGAACTCCACCAAGTTGTTGAGGAGGAGAAGAAAGTTTCCACAGCCTGGTGAGAAGATTTCTGCAGCAGTTAGTCGCTTTAGCTGATCAACTCTCCCAGAGACAGGAGTGAAGACATTTTTACTGTAGAGCCTCAAATATTCTCCTCACACACCAGAACAATAAGCAAGCTATGCTAGCAGCGTCCGGTTTCTGCTTCTTCTGGTGGTCGGTGACCAGCGTCAAGGCGCACTAGCGCCACCTGCTGGAGCAGAATAAAACACCAGTGTGTTCAGAACGGGACTAATTAAGCACATAACATGTGATATCTTCCCCAAACAAATACTTAAAGTAAAGACAAGTTAGTTTTACACCTGTTATAAAAATGAGAATTTCCTGGAGAATTGCTGTACCTCTCGTCCTGCGTGTTTCTATATACTTTGAGTACCAGTCCCCTCTAACTCACAACATTTGACCACAATGACCAAGCGTAGTTACATTTAACTAGTAATTTAATGAATTAGTAGTTTGAACAACATTCAGGAGCAAATACATTCAACCAGGGCTGTCAGTCCAATAAAAGTGAAGAATACTGTGTCTTTCTGATTAAATCAGGATTAATTCCTTCTAAAAAATGGTGTTAGGATTAGGTTTGGGCAGGATCACCGCATTACCGTATACAGCCAGTGTTTAAAAATAGCAACGGTGTTAGTTCCAATACTGTCATGAAAAAAAGAATGATGCACTTGAGAGACGAGGATTAAAAACTAAATAAATAAAAGTAACCTAATGTATAAAACGGATGTATGGTTCAATTGTCAATTTTACATAAATAGTTCAAATGTTTTTGTCCAAATTTTAGAGATGTTCCGAAAAGTTTATAGACATGATGTCATCACATGACAGCGCTGAGACGGGCCAATAAAAAATGGCAGCTCGTGCACCAACTTACTTAGTGTCTTAAAAGTAACACAACTTCTGTAGTTTGGGAGTAATCGTGCTTCAAAGCAAACTTCAAATGAGAGCCAGTGAACACTGATGGGTATTTGTGCAAACAAAAAATTTGCAAAAGATGCACACCCTGTTCGCACCGCAGAGGAACTTCCCCTTAACCCTCTGGAGGCAGGCGTTGCAGATTTGCAACAGTTAAAACCTACCTACCTGCTTACTCCACATACGTATTTCATGAGCATTTTAGCTCTTTTTTCATTTTTTGTTTTTGCAAACCTGGTTTGTGTTTTGTTTTTATTTGTGAATAAATGAAAATAAACTTTAAAAAACAACTCAGAAGTACCCCTGAAGGACTTAGTTGTTTATCCTTTTATCAAAACTCATTTAGAGCCTGAAAGGGTTAATGCAATTATCTAACCAACCAATCACATGGCAGTTGCTTCAATGCATTTAGTGCTGTGGACCTGGTCAAGACCATCTCCTGAACTCCAAACTGAAAGTCAGAATGGCAAAGAAATGTGATTTAAGCATTTTTGAGCGTGGCATGGCTGTTGGTGCCAGACGGGCCGGTCTGAGTATTTCACAGTCTGCTCAGTTACAGGGAGTAGACGTGCACCAAGCTTTACATCAGACCATTTCTAAATCAGCACCTTCACAACACTTTTTGTTTGCTTCTCGAAGCTGCTTCAAAGAAAAACAAAACATCAAAGGTTTCTCCCACATTCTTTACAGATAATATTTGTCAGAAATTCTTTTTCAGTTTGTTTATAGGTCATGAAATCAAGAGAAAAATAAAATTGGTCACAATGAATTGATAGGACATCTCAAATACAACATTTATTTATTCTTACATTTGTCGGGGCTTTTGAAGAAACTGTTAAAAAATAATAAAAAATGTGTGTTTTATTAGTCCCATTCTGAACACACAAGTGTGTTTTATTTTACTCCAGCAGGTGGCGGTAATGCACCTTTACGCTGGTCACCGACCACCGAAAGAAGCAGAAACCGGAAGCTGCTAGCAGAGCTAGCTTGTTGTTCTGGTGTGTGAGGAGAATATTTGAGGCTCTGTAGTAAAAATGTCTTCACTTCAGTCTCTGGGAGAGTTGATCAGCTAAAGCGACTAACTGCTGCTGCTGCAGAAATCTTCTCACCAGGCTGTGGAAACTTTCTTCTCCTCCTCAACAACTTGGTGGAGTTCTTTCCAGAACCAGAGAAGATATTCTGCGGTCTTCGTGACAATCGGAGCTCCAGAATCAGGTTGTGGGTGAGAAAAGCTTTTCTCTAGACTTCCTGCCCTCTGGATCTGCTGCTGTTCCTTTGTCCTCTCTGAGAAACGCGCTCGTTTGGCTGCTTTCATCAGATTGAAGAGGTTCCCTCTATCAGACTCGCTCATCTGAGTTGGTCATGATGCAGGATCGCTGCTCGCTCTCTGATCCATCCTGCTCACACTCTCCGACGGAAAAGCCCCGAATCTGAATGTGACTCTGGAGGAAAAAGCTGTTAGCTCTACTCCGTGAACTCTGGTGAGCAAAGGTCCTCTTTTCCAGACTGGATCTGTCCTCAGCTGATCAGAACCAAAGCGTTGGATCTCTAAAGGTGCAGTATGAGATAAGACTATAATTTGTGCGTTACCACATCTCAGACAGATAAATGAGTGCAACAGTTACCAAGAATGCAAAAATAAATAAATAAATAAAATAAAAAGACTTTATGTACAACAGTAGTTTCTATGTAGAAACAGACACAGTAAGCATTATGGATGGGGGTTGGGGAACACTGGAAGTAATAATACATAAAAAGTATCAGCTGTTCTGCTACAACTACTATTTACTGTCTAAGTGATAGATATCTGTAAATAAAACCATGAACATGTACGCACACGTGTACAAATGTACATACATCAGGTGTATTATGCATGGAGTACTGACCATAGCGTTAAAGGGGCTGGGTGACTCGTGACATCATAATGTGTAGCAGTCTCTGACTGAAGGAGCTGCTCAGTGCACCCACCAACTCGTGCAGAGGGTGATGTGGTTGTTCATGATGTCAGCTTAGCCAACATCCTCCTCTTGCCCACCACCACCACAGACTCCAGAGGGCATCCCAGTACAAAGCTAGACCTCCACACCAGTTTGTCAGTCCTGTCCCTGTCCGTGCATCCGCTCCCCCAACAGGCAGAGAAAACGGCAGATGCCACCGAATCATAAAATGTCCTTAACAGAGTCTACGTACTCCGAAGGACCTCAGTCTCCTCAGCAGGTAGGGTCGACTTTAGCCCTTCTTATACAACGCTTCTGTATTTGTAGACCAGTCTAGTTTATTGTTTAGGTGAACACCCAGGTACTTGTAAGAATCCACCATCTCAATGTCTTTTCCCCGTAAGAATGTAGTGAGATTTTTACATTGATAAAATCCTAAAGGAGTCAAATGTTTCAATCATTTTGGAAGGAAGGTTATACTGAAGCATATTTCATATCCAGCTGGCTCTGGGGGTTGTCAGTTTTTCTCCTTTCAACACAAAGGACGGAGAGATGTAACTACTGTTTACCATCAGTGAGTGAAAGGTTGTCTTGTCTCCTGTGAGCTAATACTGCAGCAACAACAACTGCAGGGTTTCCTCCAGCTCTTTATAAGCCTGGCAGCCCGCCAGGCTAAGCGTCATGCCCCGCCCCCTTCCCCAACCCTACCGTGTCCGCTGACAGGAATGGCTGCAACCAAACTAGAGTCCTCCGTGAACTGATACTGGTGAGAAACAGCAGCGGAACGTGCCCCCCCCCCCAGCTCTGAGGGCCAAATCCACCAGGCTTTACTCATTTCCTGGGGGAAACCCTGAACTGTATTTGATGACGGCCAGCAAAAACTTCCAGAATTGTTTAAAATGTTTGCAGGAACCAAATTTTTATCACAGAGTAAAAATTTTTACTTTATTTTTTACATAATGCACCTTTAATCTCCTGCGTTGTTCTGAAGCAGCATCTTAATCAGCTCTCCTGCTTTGTTTCTATTGCAGCTGTTAGCTAAACACGGCTAAAGAAAACCTGCTACCACTTCAGGATCATCCATCAGCTGGGACTGATTCATCGTGTGTTCTTCAACACCTGGACCTGGACAGCATGGACACAGGTACTGGTGGATGAATGAATATATTGTCAGTCTATGGTGGGACATTACGTTAATATTATGATAACTTCCATGAGCTTCAATCCTTAAATGATCTGAGGAGAGGAGCCCGTTGAAGTGGCACGGGCATCTGGTCAAAATGCCTCCTGGACGCCTCCCTGGTGAGATTTTCCAGGCACGTCCATCCGGGAGGAGACCCAAGGGAAGACCCAGGACACGCTGGAGGTACTTTTTGACCAAGGCTAGGCTACAAGACACCTCCCGTGTATCCTCGCTCAGCTAGCTAAACGGCTAACAAACGGAGAACACACGCCTCTGTAGAACATGAACATTGGAACACATCTTGGCGGTTCCTGGTGACGTATCTCCTAGGCAACCTGGGTGGGGCCAAGACATCAAGGCAAGGTTCCTTGGCATTAAGAAACACCCTATGTCTCTCGGCTGGGCAGGGAATGCCTTGGGATTCCCCCGGAGGAGCAGGCCCAAGTAGCTGGGGAGAGGGAAGTCTGGGCCTATCTACTCGGGCTACTGCCCCCTCGCCCCTACTCTGGATAAGCGTTTGAAAATGGATGGAGTCAGTATAGGGCCAAACTTTCATCAGTTCTCCTGTGTTTTATTGATGCCTCTAAAGCTTTAGATCAAGTCAATCACAGAAAACTCTGATAATTTAAAAAAAATGAAGAGTTCCTGAGTATTTAATGCGGGTCCTCTCTCACTGGTCAGCTCATCAGAAGATGCGGGGATACACTTTAACTTATCTTAGTTACTTTAAAGATGTAGATCACTTTTTAATCAACACATCTGCATGTGGTGGGGATGAAAATCCCCAGTGCGCCAGTTTCAGGATGTAGAAGTGAGTGACATCAGAGAAGACATTCGGATTGGATAACAGCAATGCGGCTCAAGTAACGACTCTGTTTGCAACGTTCTACAGCTGGGAACAATTTTTTTTCTCCGTGTCCTGTCTGGCTGTGAAGCAAACAGAATTGATGTCTGAATGCTGGTGACAAGCCTAACAGATTTACTCTCAGGTGGAGCATCAGAGCTTCTGCTTTAATGTCACGCCTGATACTTAAAACTTTATTGTTATTGTTTTTTGAATGCTTTGTAATTCCGATCAGACACGGAGACAGAGGTGAAAGAGAAAGGAAGAAATAGGGGGGGTCCACAAAAATGAACTATCGATGAACAAGAGTCTGCTTCTAGACCTGCAGAAAGGGAAAAACAAACCAGAAAAAAGGGGGGGACACAAAAATTCAACTAGAGCAAGCCATCACTGCTTCAACCTGATGAGGAAATATAAAATCAACATTGTTTTACTGAACAATCACATGATAATAAATCACAGTGCGTTAAGTATCAACCACAGCCTTAAGACATGTGTTGAACGTGCCCAAGTCCATACTTATGAGAGCACCACGTGAGCACCTGTGTGTGTACACGCGCTTGTATATGTAAGGTTTCTCTATAGGAGCGTCCAATAGAGAGTGTGAGGGGCCACAGATCTGCACCCCAAAGATGTGTAGGAGATGGAGGGAGCTCCAAATCCCAAAAATCCAGGGGCTATTATTCCAGGAGCTATCCCAGAGCGCAGGGACCCCAGGGAGACTGCAACCAGAAAAGCCCCTGCCCCCTCTCGAGAGGCGCGGAGTATTGTCCCGGGGGGTCACTACCAGCAGCCGGCAGAGTCCCGGGAGATATCAGCGGCAAGCCCGCAGCCTCTCACCCCCAAGCCGGTCGAGCCTGGAACCCAGCGACCCGGCACCCAGGGACAACCAGCCCCGCCGGGGACCCAACAGAGCCCAGGGTCTCGGATCCCACCAGGCAGCCACCGGGATCGATCAGGAAGACTCCAAAAGTCTTAAACACCCTGACCCGGGAGCCACAAACACTCAGGCAGACGAAGGCACTCCACACCAAATGGGGAGGAGTCCAAGACCCCACCTGACATATACAGCCATGCACAGACACAATCACACTCTCCCTCCCTCATGCTCACACATACACATTCAACCTAAGACTTACAAAAATGAACGCTAGACACCCACTCACGCTCCTCATACACACCCTATTCACTCTGGTCCCGGTACTGCTGCACAATGAGTACGACCATCACCGGTTCCCAGAGTTCGCCCCTTAGGGGTAATGATGAGCAGGCACCCTTGCCCAACGCTGAGCAAAGCACCACACCAACCGAGACCCAAACATGACGGCCATCTCCCCCTCCTAGCCTCCAGCCCCAGGAATTTAAGAGACAACAGAGGTGTGCTGAGACCTCTAGTCTCCCTCTTCTTGCTCCAATATAGTGTTAGTGCGTGTTGATTAGGTATATTCCATGGCTGTGGTGAGCAGGCAGTGCAGGCATCGTCTGGCCTACTCCAGCTGATGCAACCACACAAGCCCACTTCCCCCCACAGCCCTCTGTGTCGGAGTGCAGTTTAAAAATTGGAAGTAGGCACCGGCACTTGGGATGAGGCTGAAAGATCCCCTTGCCAAATGCCGTTGAATGTGCTCACTCCCAAGACCCTAAGTGTGTGTTTGCGTGAAATGTCGTTGCTAGAAGTGTTTAAGGTGCAAATAAAATTGGGGGGCAGGCTGCCACAGGAATGTGGAAATGGGTTCCATACCCGCACCCCCTGACTTGCCCACACCGCAAGATCCTATGTGCATGATTGTGTGATGATGTGAGGGAGCAGGAGGAGAAAAATGGATGGGGATGGGGAGGAATGGCTGGTTGGCCTAAGCCCTCCAGGGAGCCAGCTCCCCCACTGGCCCCAATAGGCACCTCCGTTCCCAAAATGCCCCCCAGGACATGGAGACCCCTGGGAAGGTAAGACTGAGATCCTCATCTGTACCCCCAGACAAGCTGGTTCCCAAAGTCAGAGACTCTCTTGGTCAGCTTGCTTCTCACACCAAACCTTCTGTCAGGAATCTTGGTGTGACCTTTGACCCAGCTCTCACCCTGGATTCTCATGTCAGTTCTTTTGTTCGCTCTTCCTTCTTTCATCTCAGGAACATTGCTAAGCTGAGTCCCATTCTATCTCGCTCTGAACTTGAGACATTTCTCCACACCTTCATCTCCTCACGCTTAGACCACTGTAACTCTCTTTTCACGTGTCTGAGCAGAATCTTCCTGAACCGTCTACAGGTGGTTCCTAATGCTTGTGCTCGTCTTCTGACCAAGTCCTCCAAACACACCCACATCACCCCGCTTCTCCTCCAACTTCACTGATTGCCAGTCAACGTCAGGGTTCATTTCAAAATCCTGGTTCTGGTCTTAAGAGCCTTACATGGGCAAGCACCATCATACATTAGTGATCTTCTCAGTCCTTACACCCCCAGCAGGTCTTTGAGGTCCAGTGACCTACTGCAGAAGAGTCAAATTCAAATTTGAACTGGGCCGAAAGGAAAAACCAGGACCAAGTCAGGAGCCAAACTCAATTTTTTTTTTTAATTGACGACAAATCTCAAGATATGTACTGTTGAACCTTTTCATTTGGAAGCAAACTCATTTTTGCATAAATACTGATGCTGGAATAACCAAATTACACACTAGCAAGTAGGGATGCACAGATACTGATACCAGTATCGTATCGGTAAAAGTTAACAGATACCAGTAACTGATACCAATGCAGTTGCTTGAAAGTGACTTCACTGTAACTTGTCATTTCTGTTCACCTAATATTTTAGTTTTGTGATCACTTATACTACTTTTTATCTACCTCACAGTCTTTTCCTATTGAAAACAGAAGAAAATAAAACCTGTATTTCAATTCATTGCATTTTTCTGTGTGGTAGAAGTATCTGTATCGGTAATCTGTATCGGCGAGTACTCAGACCCAAGTATCGGTATCGGTTTGGAAAAAAGTGGTATCATTGCATCCCTACTAGTAAGTACATTTTAAATAAAATACACATCAGCTTATAAGTTCTAGCTGTCTTTTTTTTCCTTAACGAGCAGAAACTCACTCTGAATAACCCTGCCCCCTGTGTTGAGAGAGAGTTCTTGTACTGATTAAATGCAGGAGGGTGTGACCTAGACGGAAACTTCTTAGGAACTAGCCTAGTGAACTAGACCAAATTCCTGCTTTGCAAAGTTTGGTCTAGGAATGCTCCATTGGAACCTCTGCAACCCCTAGCAGCATTCTGGCTTGCCAGTCACAGCTCTCTAGAGTCAAACACACACTATCTGCTTTGTAGACCAATCACAGCGCTTCATCAGCTTTGTGGGCCAATCAGGGCCCTCTATTCGTCTAGTGGGCGGGATGATGCAACAGAGTGAAACAAGATGGCTGCAGTTGATTTGAAACAGCTTTTAGATCAATTTAAGACTATTTGGACTTGGCGGCCCTTCACAGTAGCCTGCATTATCGATCTGTCTGCCCCAATCTCGGGGTTTTTTCAATATCAGATCGGCCCAAAACTGCAATCAGTGCACCCCTGGTTTTCATTTCATTTTCATTTTCATTTATTTATTTAAGGACAGCGCACATTAATCAACATTTCTGTGTGCCAGTGTTAGCCAGCAGGCTAATTTTCAACTGTAGTCCATTGGTAAGATGGTATACTAAGCACATGGTGGCTAAAAAGAAAGAACCAATTAAATGAGCATAATAAATAGCACAAGAGTTAATATACAAACGTAAAACACGATACCATTGCACTTACGCCACTAAAACATAAGAACATATATTCATATGTAGCGGTTAATGAACTACATATCTAGGAATTAAAGGCTGTTGCTATCAGCTTATGTTTAATCCCTACAAAGATCAAACATAACGACGAATGAAATTTATATATATATATATATATAGGGAGGAGCCGGAGCCGGATACTCATTTCAGACGAGTATCCAGTACGGATAAAGCATTTTTGACGAGTACGAGCATGAAATGAGTCAAACTCGTAAATATCTGTAATCGTGCTGAAGAAAAATCCTCATTGGGTGACTGACTGTCTTCACGCTCTGTGATTGGCCAGTCAAATAGAGCACCTGCCCCTCCCTACACACAAAATTCTGCACCGGGAGCTCTGTCCACGTCCGGTCCATCCACGCACACACACAGACAGTAACGGATCTCTCTGTGCTTGCTTCACTGTTGCTCACGTTTCTTCAGTACTCCCTAGGTTTTCTTCAGTTCTCCTCTTTTTAAAGTTACTTTAAAGTTATTTAAAATTACTTTTTTCATAACGTACATGGTGCATTTGACAAGACAGAGCGGAAAACGGCTCGTGCTGCATCAGTCACTGCCTCCGCTCCGGTCGGGCTTTTTTTCCCTCTCTCTCTCCTCTTCCTCAGGATCCACTCCCTCTTTCCTATTCACTCTCTCTCTTTCTTTACATTTCTTAATTACAATTGTCTCTATTTTGCTCATTTTAAATATATTTAATAATTTTCTAAATTCTTTTTTCTATTTTACATGTTTTGTTTTTGTGAAGCGCCTCGTGATTTTTATCTTGAGAGGTGCTAGAGAAAAGATCTTTTCTTCTCTCTCTCTCTCTCTCTCTCTCTCTCTCTCTCTCTCTCTCTCTCTCTTAATTCATGCACTTAAATATTAATGCTCTGATTTTATTGAAAAACTTGTTCTGTAATAGTTCCTTTACTATTGTGATCAAAAACATTTAATCTCAACGTGATCAAAAACATTTAATCTCAACTCTGAGGCTGCTCTGTAAATAGTTTTCAAATAAACAATACAAATAGCAACTTCTGATCAGACTTAAAATAACGTATTGATGTAAACCACACTTCCGGGTTAGGCCATGCCCACTCCGAGTACAGATACGGATACAGATAGTTTAGATGGTTGAACAGATACAGATAGTGGTGTACTCGCTCATCCCTAATATATATAATAGATAGAAATTCATACACCAACTTGATTGGTCTATATCTAATCAAAATATTATAGTATTTTTAAAGATTTAATTTAATAGCAAAAGTTATGTAATAATTCAGAAAATCTAAAGATCTTTGCTTGTTCAGTGATCAGTATACAACCATTCTGTGTTTATTTCAAGAAAGAGTCAAGTTAAAAAGGTTAAGAAAGTTATTACTAAACAATTTAAACATGACAGTTTAAAAGACAATTTATACAAGCTATGGTATTAAAAAGCAACCCTGTGTTTGGATGGATCTAAGGTGAAGCGTGTTTTGTTTGCGGGTTAATGCATGTCTCAGAACGTGTATCTTGGAGAGAGGAGATGTTCTGGGTGAAAAAGAATTTGGTTTGCGACTAAGCTTAAAGTTGTACTTAATAAAAGACCATTCAGACGCAATCTGTGTCTACCTCACTATCAGAAGACCCTCATTGTGGATCCGGATGTCAAGGGAGGATGTTGACCAGCCTCAGGGTACTAGGTCCGGTAGGAAGACCAATGGTATCGACCTCTCCGGTCCTAGAGATGCCGCAGGCACACAGGTGGAATTGGTTTACATCTGAGCAGATTCTTAATGAATCTCGTAGCATCAGCTTGTTTTGCAGGTGTCGTTTGTTGCGTCGGAGCAATTGTGCCAGCGTGAGAGAAATCGCTTGTTGATGGCTATTATCATTTCTAACGAATCAGGTTTTGACATGTAGAAGGAAGATTTAACAATCCCTCAGAAACTCCTCCCTGAAGATTGGAAGTTCTGGTGTTATGGGAAAAGATCATGTGTGTGCAGTTACCTTTAACCTAGTTACTTGTGGCTGTGTGAGCTGAGTAAGTGCCCATGATTCTTGTCGTAGTTAACATTACCGATTATCATAAATAATTTTCAACCAAAGAATAATAATTCATTTCAGTAATTAATCTCGGTTATAATGAACCTTGATGATTAGCAGTAAAAATTGTTTACTTAAATGATTCTTTTAAATCTTGAAATGTCCTCTTCCTGCTGTGAATGGAATCAGTCAGATAAGCAGACAGCTGCAGATTAAAGGAGTAGTTGTAGACTTTAAGTCTCCTGTGAAGGACTCTATTGCAGATTGGAGTAGTAGCCAGGGCAAGGTGACCAAGGCTGTGTATTGGGCCATTCCCATCTGTACCGGGTCGGCCCGGCCCGGGTAGCCTCAGTCGGCCCCAGCCTGGCCCGGTTGATTCCACACATCCTTGCCTTAAGCCCATGTGGGCTGATTCTACCCACCAATCAGAGGCTTGCTCTAATGGAAGGTGTGAATTTTCTGTCAGCAGTGGGTGTGTTGGCCCTGGTCGGCCTGAAGCAGACCCCCTCGAGAAGAGGGCTGAGAATGAGCCTTAGTTGGCCCGGAAAAATACCAGGCCACCCAGATATGTAAACAACCTACGCTACCCGGCCCGGGCCAACCCGGTACAGATGGGAATGGCCCATATCTGGCCTGTGAGTCTTAAAATCAGGCCATTCGTGATGTTACACATATAACCACACAACTCATTAAAGAATCAAAAGTAGCCATATATCCATCAATCTCTCCTACATCTAATAGACTACACAATAAAATCTAAAAGCAAACATACAATGATTATTATGAGAGGTGTTCACATAGTTAATGTTAAAGCGAATCATTGCTATAGAATAATTCTTATGCACAAGTGTGTCAAAACAGGTACCAAGGTTTGGTTTTCAAAGTTAGAAAAATGAAAGTCTGAAGGAACAAATATAATTTTGTAGTTCAAACAGCAATGCTAATTATGTTCATTTATATTTGAGAACATCACCTCATGTCCAGTTGTTTCAAGAGTATTCATATTGTTTTTCTCAATTAAAGCAAATTGAAACATTGACGTAATCTGCTTTTAGTTATGACAAAATCGGTATCGGCAAGTCAGGTTTTTCTCAAGACCGGTGATCAGCCACAAACTGCAATCGGGGACACCCTAGTAACTACCCAACATTGTTTATGTATTTTTCTGATTTCACAAACACCCCTAGGTATTTTTCCAGTTCTTTTACTGCCTGTTTTTATTTTATATACTTCTATTTTTTCCATTGCAGTTCCTATAAAAAGTGAGGAAGATGAAGAGAAACCTCTGTTCTCACAGCTTCATCAGCAGCAAATAGAAGACAGAGATGTTCAAACCAGCACCTCGGCTGACCAGATGAAAGCAGAAACTGGTGGAGGAGCAGAAACTAGCAGGATCCCAGATCTGAACCCTTATGATCAGACGTCGTATTCTTCAGAGACCGAAGTTAGTGGAGATGATGAAGAGGATGATGATGTGAATCAAGACTCTGAACTGTCAAACGCTGGGTCTGAAACTGGAGACAGAAACAATGATTGGAATGAGAGCAGGTCTTCTGAGTCAGATGTTAAGGCTGTCAACAAATCCTTCAATTGCCATGAGTGTGGTAAACAATTTCTCCACAAGTGGTCTCTCCAGAAACATGTGAGAGTTACAAGTCATTCAGAAATGGGGCCTCCAGGTTGTTTGGCCAATAACAAAAGTGGGACCACGATGCAACCTCTAGAATCATGCGGGAAAGTCCAGAAAGAACTAAAATCATTTAGTTGCAACGACTGTGGAAAAATATTTAGTGTAAAATCAAGATTAAACAGACACATGAGTGTCCACACAGGAGAGAAGCCTTTTGCCTGTGAGCTCTGTGATCAAAGATTTAGTCGTAAGGCACATTTACACGATCACACGAGAGTCCACACAGGACAGAAGCCTTTTGCTTGTGAGCTCTGTGAACAAAGATTTAGCTTTAAGGCAACTTTAAACAGACACCTGAGAGTCCACACAGGACAGAAGCCTTTTGCCTGTGAGCTCTGTGGTCAAACATTTAGCTCCAAGCCAACTTTAAACAGTCACATGAGAGTCCACACAGGACAGAAACCTTTTGCCTGTGAGAACTGTGCACAAAGATTTAGTTATAAGGCAACTTTAAACAGACACATGAGAGTCCACACAGGACAGAAACCTTTTGCCTGCGACTTCTGTGGACAAAGATTTATCCGTAAGGCAACATTAAACGATCACATGAGAGTCCACACAGATCAGAAGCCTTTTGCCTGTGAGCTCTGTGGTCAAAGATTTAGCCAAAGGACGAGTTTAAGCAGACACAAAAGTGTCCACACAGGACAGAAGCCTTTTTCTTGTGAGATCTGTGGACTAAAATTTCACCAAAAGACAACTTTAAACAGACACATGATTGTCCACACAGGACAGAAGCCTTTTGCTTGTGAACTTTGTGGACAACGATTTCGACAAAAGACAGGTTTAAACAGACACATGCGTGTCCACACAGAGCTCAATTAACTAATTTAACTACACAAGTACCAAAATTATCATTGTAGTATCTAGATCCTAGATAGTATTACAACCCTGGTTGTTGTCCTTTACCCCAGATCAGGGTATCTTCCAGCCCATGACCCACCTCTTCCTGTCCTGCAAGCCCCACATTCTGGCCACTAAGCTGTAAATGTTTCACTAAATCTCCGTTTCCATCAAGAGGTGGCACAGTATTGTTACACAATGACCTGCTGACCTAAGGTTTCACTTTTGGAGCGTTGCAGGAGTAGAGAGTAGCATGGCATGTATACTCTGCTGTTAAATAGTTAGTGTAGTGTAGAAATAATGGTCTTTTACGAGTATTTTGTACTTTGTGAGTTGCATAAATATAACTGCAGATTTCTTCAGTTGTTTATCCAGTGGTTCCAGGATTGGGCCCTGCTAGTGTAAACACATGACAGCCCAACACTTCCATTACTTTTCACTTATTCCTCAAATTCACAGTTTCCTGCTGTTTGCAGAAATGTGTTTTGTAGACCATAGAAACTATGTACTGATTGTGAGGCAAAAGCAATGAGGGCTGTCTATCAAGCAAAAGAAGAGAATTCCGTTTGTCTCTGTGGAAAAAATAAGGATCAATTCCTTCTAAAAAAAATGGTGTTAGGAGATTCCACTGTGTCTCTCTAGCAATGGGCGATACGGCCTAAAATATATATCGCAATAAATTCTGAAACACATGTGGCACGATATTTACGATAAATATCACAATAAATTCTTTTTATACATTTCTAAATGACAGGTATATTTTAATATTCTCACTCACCTCTTTCACTGCGACCCAGGGCAGCTGTGGCTACATCATAGTTCATCCCTACCAGCGTGTGAATGACTCATTGTGTTGTGAAGCGCCTTGGGGTTTGTAGAACCCTAAGAAGACACTACACATACAGGTTTAAATAAAGTTAAAGTCCCATAGTCATCATCACACACTGGTGAAATTCATCTCCGCATTTGACCCATCCCCATGGAAGGGAGCGGTGAGCTGCAGCAGTGGCTGCGTACGGGTTCTATTTGGTGGTTTTATCCCCCAATCCAACCCCTTAAAGCTGAGTGTCAAGCAGGGAGGCTTTGGGTCCCGTTTTTAACGTTTTTGGTATGACCCGACCTGGAATTGAAACCCGATCTCCCAGTCCCAGGGCGGACATTCTACTTCTAGGCCACCAAGATGGTAAATAACATTTGATGTTCAAAACTCACTTAAAAAATACAAAATATCCCAGAAAGTTTTTATGTTAAGGTACTTTTTATAATAAATAATGAAACAAAATAACTGTCATAAAATGAATAGAGGGTGTATTAATACAAGCTAAATTGTCTGAACTAAAGTGAAAAATGTAAAAACAGAAATAACATTTCTTCCTGCTTTCCTGATTAATGTCTTTATTTTTCATGTTGTTCTTTTGCTCATAGAAGTTAAGTTTGTTCCTCTTGGTGATGGACAGCTTATTGAAGCAACAGGAGAGCAGTAGACGTGGATGGGTTGAATAATGCTGGCGTTTAACAGTAAGAGACGGAGAGGGAACAGAGCTTCCAGAGAATCTAGAGTTTATGCCGGGAACGTTTGTGAATGTCTATAACATCTTGCTCATGTTTACGCTTATTGTCCAGGGTGAGTCCAATATATTTAAAGTTCAATTGTTTTATTGTGTATGATAATGGGTGCTGCTGGGGGATGCTGCTGGGTGTGAATGACTAACTCCTTGGTCTTATCTAAGGAAAGGAAAATGAATGGCGAACTGAAAATGAGGAAACAAGGTTTACAACCAAAACACCAAAAGAAATCAGCATGTCAGTTATTAGAACCATAGCATTTATGGCTACTATGTGTACTAACCTCAATAAAATCAAGGCGTTGCTTTAAATCAATTACAAAACCATGAAATATTTGTTTGGCACTGACATAACAACAATGCATTATATAGATTAAAACTCAAAATAAAATGTTTTACTTGACCACACTCATGTACATTAAATAATATCTATCCATCCATTCTCTTTCACTTATCCAGAGCTGCGGGGGCAGCAGCCTAAGCAGGGAGGCCCAGACTTCCCTCTCCCCAGTCTCTTGGGCCAGCTCCTCCATGGGAATCCCAAGGTGTTCCCTGACCAGTCAAGAGACACGGTCCCTCCAGCCAGAAAACCTCACCAGGGAAGCATCCAGGAGGCATCCTAACTAGATGCCTGAGCAACCTCAGCAGGCTCCTCTCGATGTGAAAGAGCAGCAGATTTACTCTGAGCCCCTCCCAGAAGACCGAGCTTCTCACCCTATCTCTAACCCCTTCTTTCCACCGGAGCCGTCAGCAGCACGTTACTGCAGCAGCACATTATAGCTGCTGATAGGAACCGCTGTGGTCAACAGAACCTTTTCCACCGGAGCCGTCAGCAGCGCGAGTCGGCCGTGTCTCAGGAGCAGCATGTCGCGGCCCTTACGCGCCGGTTCTATTTTCTACGTGCGACGCCTCTGAAACGGGTCAAGTTCGACATTTTTGGGGACGGAAGAACAGGAAATTGGACGCGGAAATGGAGCGAAGCTTCCCGAGATTTTCAGAATAAAGAAACTTACTGCCTTCCGGTTGCTTTGCTTTTAAAAAAAAGTTACTAACTGTGCGGCCCCGTGAGAAGTTATCACCTAGCTAGCGGTCTCCTTTGTTTTTCAGGTCCGTATTGGCGATTATAAAACGGACAGAACATAAAACACAAACCTTTTGGAGCCATGTTGTAGTTTTCTCCTGCTTGTTGTTGTGTTTACTGACAGCGTCACTCGTGTGACTTCGTGCTCTTTCGGTGACAGCTGCTCCCCTGCTGCTTCGCGTCTCGTGGGAAGGGCCAAGCAGCAGCATACGCGAGCAAGACGTGCTGCTGCAGTAACGTGCTGCTGACGGCTCCGGTGGAAAGAAGGGGTCAGGGAGAGCCCAGCCACCCTGCGGAGAAAACTCATTTCAGCCGCTTGTATCTGCGATCTCGTTCTTTCGGTCACTACCCAAAGCTCTAGATCATAGGTGAGGGTAGGAACGTAGCTCGACCGGTACAATCCTCACATCACTGCAGACGCACACAATAAATGATAATAAATTACAAAAAGTATTTAAATTGTAAATGTACAGGTTTGTAACTGAAAGGCCTGCTGAGGGCTGTAAATTTAACCCTTTAAGTACCAAAGTTGCAATATTGTGACTTTGGCATCATTGCTGGGTTTTTACCCAAGAAGCTATTAGGGTCTGAATTTTGTGACGCAAACAGGAAGTAATTTCTATTCTCTCCTCATCCACTAGGGGCTGGCACCGGAAGTGAGCACATCTTCATCGACTCCCATGTTAAAAAAGCCAGCTTCACAGCAGAAATAAACATGTTTACAGCCTGGTTCTGAAACCAGTTTAGGCTTAATAAATCTAGTTTACATTCATGACATCTCTGAGGGGGATGAATTTATTTGGAAGTCTTCCATTTAAGTGTAATTGAATGCTTGAAAATGATGACAGGTAGCGTGACACCAATAGAGTCACTTCCGGGGAAGAAACCTAAAACATCACACCCCCGCATTATTTTCTCGACCGTATTCTCTCCAGCAGCAGGCAAAGTTGGGAACATCATTTTGAAACTCTGGAATGTTCTTAGGAGTGATTCCATCAGCTGTAAACGCGCTATAAAAAATAAACTGGTATGGTACACTATAACATTAGCTGGTAAATTATGATGCCACAATGTTGTTGTGAGCTTGTGTGTGTGCCATCGACATATATATATATATATATATATATATATATATATATGTATATATATTTATATATATATATATATATATATATATATATATATATATATATATATATATATATATATATGTATGTATATATATATATATATGAATGTATATATATATATATATATATATATATATATATTTATATATGGACAATGGGTTTCCATAGGCTCCAATAATACGTTTTTGAGATAAAATGGGAGGTGGCCACCACCGTCATTTTGACCGTGTCACAGGTCAAGCCCAGACAATTCCACAAAAGGAAGAGAGGTGGAGCTGAGGGTGGGGCTGTAAGGCGGGATCAAATAACGACACCCGTCGAACTGAAGCTAATGTTGCTACAAGCTAACCTGAAGCTAACCCAAAGCTAACGCAGAGGTGGGAGCTAAGCTAATGGAGTTAGCTACCTATCTACAACCGGGGCTAACTGTGGATCACCAGCGACCTGAAGCTCACACAGTGTTTGTGTGGAGGTTTGAGGCGCTTTTTAATGAAAACTATCTTTCTGTGAATAAACAAGTATTAAATCAATAAGTTTATAAGTTATTTCCTTAATGAAAATATATTTTGCTTTGAGCAAGTTTTTAATATTTTTAACGTAGTTATTAGTATTTGAGATAAATTAGCAGGCTAAGGGACTTAATACATTTCATATATTTCTAAAACTTATTACTTGTTTGTATCTTGTAAAGCCAAGTAGCCTTTATGCTGGACTCAGTACAGTTCACCAAAAGTAAAGAGACATTATACAGATGAAGTAAGCACAAGATAACTTATTGGAAGAAACAGAATTATCATGAGAACCAGAGCAAGAGAGCCTGATAACAGTCATATGAAAATAATAATTAAAAGTATGTATGTAATAATAATTAAAAGTATGTATGTATAATAGAAATAAAAAATATATTAGAATTAGTGTAACTCACTGTGATCCACCGGTGACTTGCTCTTTAATGAAACCGGCTTGTTGTTCAGATGTAACTCGGACAAAGACACATCCAGTGATGAAACGTTAGCTTCTTTTTTACTTGCACCGAATAAACCTTTGCTCACCTGCGTTCCAGCCTTCATGTTTTTGATTCTTAGTGTCCATCGGCTGTGCAGCACCATTTGCACAGACTGCTCTGCTCTGTAAGATGAACACAACAAGTTCCTGGTGTATGCTAGTCTATGTCTTTGTGTCCATTGATGAAGCCTGTCTCCATTGTCCTAACCCTAACCCATGGTGCTCTGGAGACAACCTGTCCATAAACGCCTCAGAAACTGAAGACATGATTCTGGATTTGAGTTAAAAACATAACAGTTACACATGTATCATATCTTTATACAGAGTATTTATTATATTATCTTACATATGTGGAATATTTATTCTAAATAGAAACTTATTGTAACATTCTGACCTTTAGCTGTGTTCTATGTGAGAATGTCAGCAGTATGTGTTCCATGTGCCACATTCTTTGCAGTTAATTGTTCTGTTGTGCTCGGTTCTCTTTTACTGTAATAGTGGAATGGATGAGCAGTTCTAGGGAGGGGGGAGGAGCGAGAGTGAGGGAGGGGGTTGTCTGGGAAAACCCTGAGGAGGTGTGGTTGGTTTTTTTATTGTTTTTTTTTTTTTTTTTTTTGTCTCGCTCTCTCTCTCTCTCTGTTCGTTGTTTTTTTGGGCTCTGTTCGGCGTGGTTGCGGCCTACAGCAACTCTTTTGGGGAGTCATTAAAGACTAAAGCATAAGTGAGCGTCTCCGACCGTTATTGTGTCCGACGGGACATTACATTATTTTTTACTTTTGCCCATCGGAGCTCAGTGAGTAGAGAAAACAAGAGCGTCGCCCTCTGGTGGCCTCATCAAGCATTACATGAAGCTATGATGACTAAATCAGCACCTTCCCAACACTTTTTATTTGCTTCTCAGAGCTGCTAAAAATAAAAGTAACATCAAAAGTTTCTCTCACATTCTTTATAAAAAGTAAGATTTTTTTTAGTTTGTTTGAAGTTCATAAAGAATAAAACTGGTCAGATTTAGATTAAAAACATCATAAAGAAAAAAGTATTTTACTTGTTTTTCGTGGCTTTTGAAGAGACCACCTGAAATAATAAAAATATAACACATGTTATGTGTGTTTTATTAGTCCCACTGAGCACACAAGTGTTTAATTCTGCTCCAGCAGGTGGCGGTAGTGCACCTTTACGCTGGTCACCGACCACCGGAAGAAACAGAAACCGGAAGCTGCTAACAGCTAGCTTGTTGTTCTGGTGTGTGAGGAGAATATTTGAGGCTCTGCAGTAAAAATGTCTTCACTTCAGTCTCTGGGAGAGTTGATCAGCTAAAGCGACTAACTGCTGCTGCTGCAGAAATCTTCTCACCAGGCTGTGGAAACTTTCTTCTCCTCCTCAACAACTTGGTGGAGTTCTTTCCAGAACCAGAGAAGATATTCTGCGGTCTTCGTGACAATCGGAGCTCCAGAATCAGGTTGTGGGTGAGAAAAGCTTTTCTCTAGACTTCCTGCCCTCTGGATCTGCTGCTGTTCCTTTGGCCAGAACCAAAGCGTTGGATCTTTAATCTCCTATGTTGTTCTGAAGCAGCATCTTAATCAGCTCTCCTGCTTTGTTTCTATTGCAGCTGTTAGCTAAACACGGCTAAAGAAAACCTGCTACCACTTCAGGATCATCCATCAGCTGGGACTGATTCATCGTGTGTTCTTCACCACCTGGACCTGGACAGCATGGACACAGGTAGGACTGCCACCTTTCAGATATGTAAATAAGGACTCCACCACAGCTTCTCGGGGCCATGACCAAATATGAACTTTCTGCTGTAAAACCTGTTCTGTCCTCTTCAGCAGCTTCTGTTTCTGTTACAAAATAACCAGTAAAAGTGAACTTGTAAATGCTGTTAAAATGTTCTGTGTAGATTTATTGATGTAGGTGACTGATTATAATAAGCTACATAATTTCATGAATATATAGTTGTGTTGAAATGTCTTTATTTTAAATGTACATGTGTAAGGTGTAAGAGCTAGTGTCTCGTGAGAATACCCTTAACGAGAGTACACAAGACTTTTTCATGGACTGTGAGGGAGCAGATGTCTCTCATGAAGCGATTTTAAGCTAAAGGTTTACTAAAGGAAAGGGCAACACAAGGACTTGAGGATCTCTTTTCAGGACAAGCAGCCAACGAGGTATTTGTCATTTGAGAAATGTTTTATTCGTGTTTGGACTTAATGTGTATTGTAAAGTTGCTAATTGGTTTTTATAGAGCTCCGGACCCCACGTGACTCTCAGTTAGTAGACGCCATATTGGCAGGTAAAAGAATCTAAACAAACACGGATGTAAACATGAACGTGAACGGGATCCGCTTGGATTTTACTTCGTCTGAGTTTACTTCACACTTTAAAACCGAAGAAATCGTTTTATATAGTCAGAAATTAAATAGACTAAACATCTCCGACCCTTACCGTGACCCTGGGATACTTCTTAAAAACGCCAGAAGCTGTCGGAGCGGACTTCTTACCCGACCTGGCCGGGGAACCCCTTGGGATTCCCCCAGAGGAGCTGGCTAAACCAAGCTTTAGGCGGCTGGGGAGAGGGAAGTCTGGGACTCTCGACGCTACTGCCCGCTCCGACGCCAGAAGCTGTCGGAGCGGACTTCTTACCGGACCTGGCCAGGGAACCCCTTGGGATTTACCTGGAGGAATTGGCTCAGGTGGCTGGGGAGAGGGAAGTCTGGGTCTCCCGACGCTACTGCCCCCATAACCTGACTCCGGATAAGCAGATGAAAATGGATGGATGGATGGACAAATAACAGATTTACATGTAAGAAGTTTAAATAGAGTGCTGTGCTGTTTGAATGTATAAACTGAACACCAAGAGAAATCACTAGTTTGATTGTTTTCCGTGAATAAAATAAATATGTCAGGCAGGAGCGTCTCAGGATCTGTCTGAGATCTGTCTCGGTGAGACAGATAATAGCAATCCAAAGTGCTTTTTATGTGTGATCTGACGATTGATCAATCATTGAACATCTTAGGTGTGTTCTTGCTGTGTCTTTGTAAATCCATGCTTTTCGTTCTTTTTTAAACACAGAAACAGTTTTGTTTACCTGTTTGTAGCTACGGTTTCGCCGACAGCTGCCGGCTTCTTCAGGCTGACGCTGATGGTGGCGCGTCACTTCCTTCTCCGTTTATCTGCGGGCAGCAGAGGACGTTGTCGCCCTCTACTGCCCGCTCTCCCCTCTCCGACGATGCAGTCCCATGCGTGGTCCAGCGTGTAAACTCCGTCGTCCCTGTTCATGGTCCCACATCCACATCTCCTTATCTCTATTGCTTCCTTGATCCATCTTTTGTATTTTTGTTGTTCGGTGGTTATGATCCGTGTGCTGTCCCAGTCCATTATATGGTTTTCTCATAAGCAATGATCTGTTACGGCTGACTTTTTTATTGTACTTTTTGCTTCTTCTTTTGCTGCTCTTGTGTGTTTACGATTTGCCTCTTTCTCGCACTCCTTTCTGTGTTCTATTGTTCGTGTATTGAGTTGGCGTCCGGTTTCTCCTATGTATGTTTTATTGCATATTTTGCATGGGATTTCGTAGATGACTCCACATTTTTTTCCAGCTGATATTTTGTCTTTTGGGTGTACTAATCTGTTTCTAACTGTTGTGTATGGCTTTGTTGGTGTGTTTATGTTGTGTTTTTTCATTGTTGCTCTTATTTTTTCCGTTATGCCTCTGATGTATGGTAGGGTTATCACTGGTTTTGGTTCTTGTCTTTCTGGGTTTCTGGTTCTTTTTTTGGGTTGTTCTTTGCTTTCTGTTTTTGTTTGTTGTTTTCCTTTGTTTATTGCCCATGTCGGGTGTCTGCAGGTCTTTAAAGCGTGTTGTATGTGTTTGTCCTCTTGTTTACGGTCTCTCTCTTCTGTTATTATGTTTGCTCGGTGATATAATGTTCTGATTACTGACATTTTGTGTATGATGGGGTGTTCTGATGTCCATAATAGATATTGGTCTGTGTGTGTTGGTTTCCTGTATGTGTTTATGTTTAGGGTCCCGTCGGTCTGCCTGGTGATTTTCATGTCCATAAATGCTATGCTGCCTTCTGTTTCTAACTCATAAGTGAATTTTATGTTGCCCGTGTCGTCAATATTGTTTAAGTGTTGTGTTAGTGTTTCTGTTTGACCTTTTGGTATGATTTCCAGTATGTCGTCTACGTAGCGTTTCCATAGTTTTATTTTGCAGTTTGGGGGGGCGGTGGCTATGGCTTTTTGTTCCAGGTCTTCCATGAAAAACTCGCACAGGATGGCTGATAACGGGTTACCCATGGCGAAGCCTTCCAGTTGTTTGTATATTGTGTTGTCGTATGTGAAGTAAGTGGAGTTAGCTACCAGTCCTATCAGTTGTGCTATGTCGTCTGCTGTGAGGTTTGTCCTTTTATGTAAAGTTTTGTCTTGTCTGATTCTGTTAACTACTATGTCTATGGTTTTTTGGGTTGGTGTTTTTGTGAACAGAGATGTGACGTCATGTGAGATGAGTATGTCGTTGTCTTCTATTGTAATTTCCTTTAGTTCTTTTGCCAATTCTATGCTATTTTTGCAGTGTTGGTCTGTATTTCCTAATAACGGGCTGATGATTCTGCTGATATCTTTTGCCATGTTGTATGTTGGTGTACCTATGCTGTCAACTATTGGTCTAAGTGGGGTGTTTTGTTTATGTATTTTTGGTGTTCCATATATTCTTGGTGTTATGTTTGCTGTAGGAATCCAGTGTTTGTACATTTTTTCTGTTATTTTGCCTTTTTCGTGCAGTGGCTTCAGTAATTTTTTCATGTTTTTCTTAATGTTTTCTGTTGGATCTTTTTTAAGTATTTCATATGTATTTTTGTCTTCTAGCAGATAAAGGAAGAACCACAGTAGTTATGGACAGAGAAAAATATAAACAACAGATGAAACAGATGCTAGAAGACAAAAATACATATGAAATACTTAAAAAAGATCCAACAGAAAACATTAAGAAAAACATGAAAAAATTACTGAAGCCACTGCACGAAAAAGGCAAAATAACAGAAAAAATGTACAAACACTGGATTCCCACAGCAAACATAACACCAAGAATATATGGAACACCAAAAATACATAAACAAAACACCCCACTTAGACCAATAGTTGACAGCATAGGTACACCAACATACAACATGGCAAAAGATATCAGCAGAATCATCAGCCCGTTATTAGGAAATACAGACCAACACTGCAAAAATAGCATAGAATTGGCAAAAGAACTAAAGGAAATTACAATAGAAGACAACGACATACTCATCTCACATGACGTCACATTTCTGTTCACAAAAACACCAACCCAAAAAACCATAGACATAGTAGTTAACAGAATCAGACAAGACAAAACTTTACATAAAAGGACAAACCTCACAGCAGATGACATAGCACAACTGATAGGACTGGTAGCTAACTCCACTTACTTCACATACGACAACACAATATACAAACAACTGGAAGGCTTCGCCATGGGTAACCCGTTATCAGCCACCCTGTGCGAGTTTTTCATGGAAGACCTGGAACAAAAAGCCATAGCCACCGCCCCCCCAAACTGCAAAATAAAACTATGGAAACGCTACGTAGACGACATACTGGAAATCATACCAAAAGGTCAAACAGAAACACTAACACAACACTTAAACAATATTGACGACACGGGCAACATAAAATTCACTTATGAGTTAGAAACAGAAGGCAGCATAGCTTTTATGGACATGAAAATCACCAGGCAGACCGACGGGACCCTAAACATAAACACATACAGGAAACCAACACACACAGACCAATATCTATTATGGACATCAGAACACCCCACCATACACAAAATGTCAGTAATCAGAACATTATATCACCGAGCAAACATAATAACAGAAGAGAGAGACCGTAAACAAGAGGACAAACACATACAACACGCTTTAAAGACCTGCAGATACCCGACATGGGCAATAAACAAAGGAAAACAACAAACAAAAACAGAAAGCAAAGAACAACCCAAAAAAAGAACCAGAAACCCAGAAAGACAAGAACCAAAACCAGTGATAACCCTACCATACATCAGAGGCATAACGGAAAAAATAAGAGCAACAATGAAAAAACACAACATAAACACACCAACAAAGCCATACACAACAGTTAGAAACAGATTAGTACACCCAAAAGACAAAATATCAGCTGGACAAAAATGTGGAGTCATCTACGAAATCCCATGCAAAATATGCAATAAAACATACATAGGAGAAACCGGACGCCAACTTAATACACGGACAATAGAACACAGAAAGGAGTGCGAAAAAGAGGCAAATCGTAAACACACAAGAGCAGCAAAAGAAGAAGCAGAAAGTACAATAAAAAAGTCAGCCGTAACAGATCATTGCTTAAGAGAAAACCATATAATGGACTGGGACAGCACACGGATCATAACCACTGAACAACAAAAATACAAAAAATGGATCAAGGAAGCAATAGAGATAAGGAGACGTGGATGTGGGACCATGAACAGGGACGACGGAGTTTACACGCTGGACCACGCATGGGACTGCATCGTCGGAGAGGGGAGAGCGGGCAGTAGAGGGCGACAACGTCCTCTGCTGCCCGCAGATAAACGGAGAAGGAAGTGACGCGCCACCATCAGCGTCAGCCTGAAGAAGCCGGCAGCTGTCGGCGAAACCGTAGCTACAAACAGGTAAAC